AGGTTCCTCTACAAAGGCTCCTGAAGGCTTGTAGACCTGGGGGTTGGGGAGGGGGTGAAGTGAAAGAGGAGGAGGGCCTAAGAGTGGAAAAAGTCCGGAGAGGGAAGAAAGGTGTCCTCAAGTTAACCCCCTTCCCTCCTATAAGCAGGTGTCAGTAAAGGTACCTGAGGAATGCTTCGGCTGAAGCCCGTGACAAAGAGGCTCTGAATAGAGGCACTGGGCTACGTAGGACTGCGGCTGTGAATAAAAGCCTGTGTCCTTGGGGCGCCTGGGGGACTGGTTAAGCGTCCGACGTCAGCTCAGGTCATGATCTCGCTGTTCGTGAGTTCGAGCCCCGCGTCGGAGCCCGGAGCCTGCTTCGGATTCTGTGTCTCCCCTTCTCTCTGCCCCTCCCCTGCTCTCGCCCTGTCTCTGTCTCTCAATAAATAAACGTTTAAAAAAATAAAAAAAGCCCGTGTCCTTGACTGCAGGTCCCACTAGAGACTGCTGTGCGTTAGCTGTGCACCAAGTCTGGTAAGTGGAGGGCAGCTTTCTTCCATGAGACTGCCAGGTAATTACCTATGTTCAGGCCTGAAAAAAAAAAATCATAGTTTTTTTGTTTTTTTTTACCTGGAGTCAGAGATCTCAAAAATAACCTCTCACTGAGGTGCTTTGGACCAATTCAATAAACATATGATGGATCTGATGTATTACATGCCTGCAGTAAGTGTCACGTTCAAGGACTACTGCATGGACTGTCCCCTCCTGGGTGGTCCCACAGAAATAATACTAAACTCCAAGACGGAAGCCACAGCTTCAAAGATCTAACGGCTGCCCAAATTCTCACAGGCCACAGCCAGGCACTACAACAGGATTAAGTACCTGACCATCACCAGACATGCCTTGGTACAAAAGAAGGAAGCTATTAATCTGCTACTAAGCTTTTGGGACTGAACGCATGGCGTATGGTGGCCCTAGGCCTCTTCGGTTTCACATTCTCATCTGCAGGTGGGTCGATTCGGACTTGCTGACTAACAAGGTGAAAAATACCCAACGGGAATTACAAGTCAAATAAATAGCATATTCAAGAGTGCAGCTGGCCTGGCCCTAGCAGCTTTTGGTGCCATGGTAAGATGGCAGCTGTTCCTTTGGGAGTCAACTTTATGCTCCACTCTGCCACCCAAAGCAAAGCCGCTGGTTCAGTGGGGCTCTCGACTCACCGACATTCCCTGAACTCCTGGACCCCGAGCACTGGCTAAGTGGACACCTAGTGGGGTCCATCGGGCTGCAGCTGTTCAGCCTCAGTGCCAGCTCTGTAAAACCAGAAGCAGATACGGTCACTGCTATCAGTGGAGAGAACTCAACCAGTCCTCAAGATTGGCCAGTCCCCCTCTTGATGAAGCTCGACACATTTTTACCAACTTTGAGTGCTGCCAATGACCTGTCCGCTATACCGGGTGAAAACCGACCGACTGGCCGATCAAAGACCCCTCTCTTTGGGCGTTACACTTAACACAACTGCTCAGCTCCCCTAATCGTTCAAGAAATGAATATTAAAATAGATACTTTTTCCTATCGTATTGACAAAAATGACAAGCTTAGCAAAATCCAGTATTGAGCAGAGAATGAAAACAAAGTTATTCCAAAACACTGTCAATGGCATGTAAATTGTTCATCTTTTTGAAAGGCAACTTGACTGAAGAGGCACATACACACTGGCTCAATGACTCTGCTTCTATGTATCTACTGAAGAGAAATAAACACACAAGAGGCATGTACTGACATGTTTCTAAAAGTGGGAATAACCATGAAGTTTTCCTTGTGTCCTCTCTCCCATTACCTACCGTTTAATTTCTTTACAATTCCCACCAGACTTGAACATTCAAGAATCTATCCACACATACCTGTCCTCTTGGTCTCCCCCCAGCCCCAGGATTCCACTGAAACTTTTTTCCGCCATAGCATTATTAAAACTGATGTCCTGTTACTAATCTTCACCTTTTTGTATCACTGCACAGCATCAACACAAATTGAAACTGCGTTATCTACCAGGTGCTTTCACATGTTCACACAGAAGACTGCACACAGTCGCGCATGACTTTACCAAAACCCTCTGAAGTCGGTGGTGTCAGTCTTCTCTTACAGATGAGGAAACACACTTCGAGCGCTGTGCCTGAGATCACAAACAGAAGTTCAGGAAAACATACCCAGAGTATTTAAGTGCCATGCCCAGTGTTATCCAACTAATGGCTGGTTTCCTTTATACTTATTTGTCTATTATTTAACAAAACCAAAGGTCAAGATGAATCAGTATAAAGCCTAACATACTCTAAGACCAAGTGCTCTTACTATTGACTTTCTAGAAGCATACAAGAATAGGCTCATCTAAAGATTCAAAAGCATGCATTCAATTAATTAAAATGCCTATATCTACAGTTACTACTAACCTAGATGGAAACAACCAAGCAAATACGGTTTCGTAGCAATTGGCAGACTTTAATATTCAAGAAAAATTAAGTCCATCATACACATTAAAAATATAGGAAATTTCATGCAGACATGAAGCTTCCAATTCAGCCTTTGTGGCAACTTTTAGAATGAGAATTACATATAAATACAGTACATCTTACAGTTCCCAAACTTCATAATTTTATACTGTGATTTATACAGCTCCTCTTCATACTTCACATTTCTCGTCTTGCTCACTTGATTAACAGACCCTAACCTGCACTACTTCAGAATATGGAAACGGGGGGG